ACCACCATTCCTAAGGCCTCTTTGTCCCTCCGAGACCTCGTTAGCTCGGCTCGCGCAGCACGGGAAGCCGCTTTGGCAGCTTGCGCTCGCTTCAAACCCCTCTCCGCCTGGATTGCCAAAGCGTGGATAGAGGAGTTCACCTGCCAGAACGAGAAAAAATCAGCTCGGTAAAAAAAAAAAAAACTACTCCGACTTACCACCATGGCGTGAGATGCATCACGAGCGCCTATGAGATTTGTAGGAAGATCGGTCCATGCTGCGACCTCCTCGGGGCAATGACACCCGATTTGGTGAAGGTAATGATACCTGAACTGGCAGAGGTATGGAAGTAAGTGTATAGGGTGATTATAAAAGACCCCCATCTCCCAAGGAAGGAAGTATGTGATTCTTGCGCTTTCTGATCTTGAAGTTCTTCATTTCCCTTGCCTTCTCAAGAGCACTAACTTGAGCTTCGGAGTGTTCCAACCGGGTTCCTCCCTGGAAGTCTCCAAGTTCTTCCTTGTTTTAGGCACCTCCGATTCCATCAGAGGCGAGGTAACCGACAGGTAGGATCGACCGGATTGCGCATCATCATCTACCATAATAGTATTTTGTCCAAATTAAATATTCATATATGATATAATATTTGAAACTTTAGGTTATGAACAAATTATTTTCTAATCAAGTGGGGTTAATCCAAAATTGACACATTTATTAATTGTGTTAAATGGATTGACATGAAAACAATTTAGGTAAACTCAAAGCTATTAAACATTGTATTGTGTCAAAAATTGTCAACTCGAAATTGACACGTTTATTAGTTATGTTAAAACGGGTTGACATGAATACAATTAAGATAAATCCAAACTCACTAATATTGTATCGTGTTTGACTTATGTTCACATATCATGTCAAAAATTGTAAGCCCTGGTTTAAATATGCCCAATAATAAGGAAAAAAATGCTATGGTTGTGGTTGCATGCTTTAACCCTCCAATTAGAGGTGGATTTGAACTGAATTGAGCTGAATATTTGATCATTCGAACTTGGTTCAATAAAAACACAGAAACTTGAGTTTGGGTATGAGGTTGATTTGAACTAGAAATATGAATTTGAATTTGGCTTGACTAAAAGCTTATATGTTTGAGCTTGGCTTGGTTCAATCTTATTAATGAGCCAAGGTTCATATAAAAATAAAAAGGTATACATGTAAAAATTAAAAATTTTACATATAATATAAACTCGTCGATTAGGCTCATGAGCTTTAGCAGCCGAGTTTTATTGAGCTCAAGCTCGGCTCGAAGTGTGTTTTAGATTGGGACAAATTATCAAGTTTTTCATGTACTGATCCCAAATAACTTGTGAAAAGTTCAATTTATGTCTACACTATTCAAATTAAATATAAATACACTAATATTTGAAAAAAAAAATCATTAAACATTGTTTTACTTATATTTTATTGGTGGTTGCATGCATGCGACCAGTTGTAACAGATCTTTATAAACTATCAAAAAGGAAAAAGGAAAATTTGATATTAGTAATGAATATGAATCCATCCCTCCAAGTCTACATTCCATATCCTCCTTCATCTCTCTTTAATTAAATAAAATATAAGCCAATATTTTATAAGAAATTTGGCAAAAAAAAATAAATCTATTATTCCATCTATTCATTTGATATATATAGTGCATGTGCACATGTGAATGGGACTGAAATCATTGCGGTGGTTGCTTCTACTAAAATTTATTTTATTCTTCTTCTGTTCATTGATAAACTGATCTAGATACTATACAGAGTCAAAGCTTGGTTCTCAACCAGTGTTATGAACCTCAACCTCACCTAAATGCTGACTATAAAGATAACAGACTATGATATCTTTCTTTCTTTAGTCTAAATAAATTAAAGCACCGGCCAATGGTTTAAGCCTATATAAAAAATGAAACCTAAATTTACCAATTCGACATGTGACGTATAATATGCTGAGATTTCCACACTTAGCGATTACTTTCCTAGGTGTATTTTTTCTGCTTTACAGAATTTAAATAGCTTTGGCATGTATAATTGCTGTCCGACTGGCCAGATATAACCCAAAATAATGTTTTTTAAGTTGTATTTGGACGGACCAACTGATGGTAGCACAGTGGGTAGGATCTCTGACTAGGGACCTGACATCAAATCCTGCTGTCACCAAGGTTGGGGATGCCGTGACAGCTTTAACCCTAACGTCTATTTCAATAAATTCAATAACTAAAAAAATAAAAATAAAAAAAATACTATTTTTGCTTCTAATAAACAGTCATGTGATCTTGTCTTTCAACATTTTCCACTTAATTTAGGTTATAACATTACTATTTTTACATGAAAAACAAGCACTTCTTAATGAAAAGATTGATTAAATAAATAGGTTGCAAAATATAAAGGGTATTTTAATAAAATAAAAACTATAGGGTAGGTTTAAGTGAATCCATGAAACTATAGGGGGTGTTCTAGTAAATGATCCAAAAAAAGTCTTATTTAGACTACTTTTAATTGAAAATGTCATAAGGTTATTTCCATTTTTGTTTCTCATGTGGTCACAACCCGTGTATAAATTATGTGATGAGATTTTCATTAGAGTTGTCAATGAGTCAGGTCTGGTTTGGGATATAATGTACCATTATCGATTATTATTAATTAGTTTCGTATGTGTTCGGGTCATGGCTGAGTTGGCCCTGAGAGACATGTGGCCGCCCAGTCATCGCCCGATCAACTTGACCACGTTGGTATAGTTCGGCCACATTGGCATAGCCCAGCTACGTCGGCTTAGCTCGGTCGAGCTACGCTACTATTGTGGCCCCCCATCTTATCCTCTCAGTCACGTCAGCTACACGTCACGTGGATAAACACTACAAATAAGATGAGAGAGGAAGATAACTCCATTGAGGAATAGGACTCTACCCCGAAAGCCCAATCCGACCAAGACACGGATCTTCAACTATAAAGGGGCGGTCCCCGCTCAAGGTAAAGGATTCAGACTTCTGACATCCATATTGTTACTCTGCTCGGACCAACACTTTTATTGCTCGGCCTGACCATCCACCACCTCCTACTGACTTGAGCGTCGGAGTGCCTACCTGGGGATAACTCCTTGGGCCTCTGACATCTTTCTTGATCATAGGTCTTGAAGTGTGGTTCCTCCTTCCACCTCGGCACCGCCCTATTGGCAAGGACTATCTAATTGCCCTCCTCAATTCATGCATCACCTCGGATTGAGCAACATTAATATGATAGGTCTCTAGACTCTAGAACTGTCCCAATTAATTAATTAGGACAATTGGGTCAGACCCGATTAGACTTGATTATCCTAGAGATTCATAATTATGTATGATAATAATAACTTAAAAATTTATTTTTGATAATATAATTTGAATAAAAATATACTAAAATGGCAAATTATTTATGTGGTGACAAAACATGCGTTTTAACCGAAAGTTATCTTATGACTTTCATTCACATTAAACATAACAAAACTCATAAGAGAACCAAGAAATTTTTATATATTATTAACTATATAATCAGTTTGTGTATGAATGGTTTAAAATGACAAAATATTAATAAGGCTAAAACTACAATGGTAGTTTTTAGTTCTATTGTCGTTTTTTGAGAAAATGGTGCCACATGGAAGCTAACATCAATGATTCGATTTCAGTGGCCGAAGCTGCTGTTTGATTAGCCGTTTTTTCAAAAAGGTATAATGAAAAGAAAACACATTGATTATCAGAAAATAGGCCACTTTGAGAAACATCAATTTTATTTTATTTATTTATTTTTGCATTGAACAACCATTGCAAGGAATGATTGTTGACATGGCTCTGACTTACATGGTGTTTGGTTCTGTAGGTGTTTATTCAATAAAATGCTACTACTTAAGTGTCACTTCAGCAGCTATCATCTATTGCTCTTTCGTATGTATCGAGAATGATAAAAGTGGATATCGGTTTTTATGCATGTCTATCGTTTGGGGAAATTATTTTTTAAAGCTTAAGCATTTTTCACTGTTACACTGATGTGAAGGCTAGTAGTGGTGCCTAATTGTCATACATGATTGTAATTATTATCTTTACCGGTTTTGTAAACAAATAAAATACAAACATTTAATGAAAAAACATAAATAAAATCAAAGACATACTTAAAAATCGTTTTCTCAAAAAATGGTAATGCAACCAAAACACCTTCAAATATTACGGACAATTGCATTATAAAATGACAATGAAACAAAGATACCTCTAAACACTTCCAAAACTAGAACTAATATAATTGGTTGGGATCCATGGAGAGCCCTCCTTTTTTCACACTTCGTGACCTACTTACCTACATGCCTTTTGTGCTTTACAGAATTCCTTTCTCGTGGTGTTTCACGTTCAGTCGTTACAGAGGCCCAGTCCAAAGCGATTGGTCCCAAAGACGGTTCCTTCTGCTCCATAAAAGTTAAAAGCAGTGACACCCAATTTAATGTTTAGCAATTCACAAGGCAGCACGGATTTGCCACGTGTACTATTTTGGTACATTATTTCATGAGAACGCTCCGACACTTGAGTCCACGAACAACACAATCCAACCGGGTTGCTCTCAAGCAATCAAACAAGTTCTGATTACTGGTCAAATGGTTCTGTACTTGGTTTCCGCCTTCTAGCATACAAAACCTATGGTCTATAAGACGTTACTGTCTATAAAAGGAATTATCATGACGCATTGACGCCAGAGCAAAAGACCGAAAGAGGGCCGCTAAAAGCCAACAAGGCCGGAAACGGAAAGTAGAGGCTCGCAGTCGCAGACAGAACTTCACGCTCACGCGCAGCGGCTTCTGGCTTTACTAGGTGGGCCCCACACGACAGTTTTATGTGGTGCTAGACTCTGGAAAGCCCTCGTTCAGCCAAAAATTGGCTTTCCGGTAAAGTAGTAGCTAGTGAAACTGAAAGCAGCTCAATCAAAGCTTCAACCCTCCCCGTTCCCGAACGTGTTAGTTGATAAATTCCATTCGCGCTGTAAAAAGTGAAAATACCGAAAGCGAGAAAACGGAGGGGAGATCCTCCACGTAAGAAGAGGTAAGAAGAACAAGAAGGAAGAAGAAGAGAGGTTGACACAGAGAGAGGGAGAGAGCGATATCATCGGCGACAGAGAAGGGAGGAGCGCCGCCGACGGAAAGAGAAGCCGACGGGGAGACTGACACATGGCTACGCTTCAGACATGGAGAAAGGCTTATGGCGCTATCAAAGATTCCACCAAAGTCGGTCTTGCCAAAGTTAACAGCGAATTCAAGGTTTTATCCCGATTTACACCTTCGATATTTTCCATTTTTTCCTAAAAGGTTTAATTTTTACTGTTTTTTCCGTCTGTCTCACTCTCTGAAGAACAACAATGAGAAATCATTCTGTTTTTCTTGTGGATTTGATCTTGATTTTGGAATTACTCGTTGTTTGTAATGGAAGGATGTGGATGTTGCGATCGTCAAAGCTACCAATCATGTCGAGTCCCCGCCGAAGGAGAGGCATCTCAGGAGTGAGTATCTTTATTAGCCCGGTTTGGGTGGTCCTGGTTTGGCTTTGCAGGATTTCGTTTTAATTTTGTAAAGTAATGAATTCTTTGCAGAAATCTTGGCGGCCACATCAGTGATGCGGCCCCGAGCGGATGTTGCCTACTGTATACGTGCCCTTGCCAGTCGGTTGGCGAAGACGCACAACTGGACGGTATGCTTCTCTTCTTCTCTTGATTCTGTGAGAATGACAATGTTTAATCAATTAAGTTTGGATTTGAAAGAAATAAAACTTGGTAAAGCGAAAAAGAAGGGGAAATCATACTTTAGGCCTATTGCATGGAAAAGGATCTAATCATCTTATCTGCATAGTCCTCGTTTATTTTGTCAAGGAAACGGATGTTATCCATATGGACTTTAAGAGCATATATTGGCCATTTTATTGCTATAAAGCTTAATGAACTTCTTCCCCAGTTTGAATAGAACTAAAAATCTTTATTGTCCAAGCAATTTAGGCAACTTTTTTAACTTTTATTTTCTGTTTTGCTTTTTTGGATGGGTACATAGAAGAAGCAGAAGATAGAAGTTTCAAGATGAATGTTTTTCATCTATTCATTTGTTATTGTCTAAGTACATTTCCTTGATCTCACCCCTCAAGTATGATAAGAAGAGATGATGGTCATCCTTAACTAATTATATATCCTATTCAGTTACATTTATTTACCTCCATGAATATCCTCTAAACTTGCTTCATAATTAATGGCATTCTTCAAGTGATTCTGTATCTTTTAGCTAGAGAGGGAGTTGAGAGGGGAGAATTATATGGTTACCCACCTTTGCAGGTCAATTTATGGGTAGGTTTGTTAGAGGGTCATCATGGTTTGCCTTTTTTATCTTAAAGAAAAATCTGTTTATCTTGATTATTGGTCAGAAAAGAAGCAAAGACAAATTATTTGGGACTGTTGGAAAAAAAATTTGGGAATGATGTAGAATCTTGACTTTCTTTCATGTGCAATCTGGATCTGGAGCCAATTCAGAAGATATAAAAGCAACATAATCTCAGAAGTGACATAAATGTTTAGTTGTTCATTAGGGGAATAAAGAAAAAGTTTCTGCAAAGTGACATATAAATGCAGTTTTTCTGCACAATGGCATAAAGTTTTTGGGAGTGCAGTTATGCTTTCCTGAGAATGTTGGAAACTTCATAAAAAGCTTGCAGCTGGGATGATTTAAGCAGAAAAGGAGAAGTGGCATGGGGTGTTATTCCTTTGGCCTGGAATGAACTATGTGGGTGGAAAGAAATTCTAGAAATTTTGAAGGCAAAATGAACTCAGAGACCTCAGTTGTAAAGGCCTATGGAGCAGAATATACTTGTGGGTGGCAGTACATAGATGTTTCAGGGTCGCCCATTATTGTTTTTTTAATTACTGACACTTTTTTTTTGTAATTATTGTCAAGTATTCAATTGTATAGTGTTACACTTGTATGGCGCAACAGCTTGTTGTGATTGGGATATTGCTTTTGTATTGCTTCTTTTCTCTTTTTGTTTACTATAATACTTTACCTTTATATACATATGCATGGTGTCAAAATGTAATTTGTATAGAACATTGGGAAAAATATAAAAAAAGGAAAAAGCAAAAGAATGATGGGAAAAATGAGTGTGTTTTAAAGGCTTTGGTCTAGCAAGTGTTTTAAAAGTGAGAATCACATTTGGAGTGCAAGAGTTTCCTAGATCCTAAGGTGCACACCTGAATCAAGTAAGGTGTCACTTTTGAAAAATTAAAGGAGAGACTTAATGTACAAGAATATGGAAATCTAAACTCTTGAAGCAATAAATATTTCAAAAATCTTATTGGCTCAATTGATCAGAACATCATCTAATGAACATGAAGGTTATTTCTTGTATGTTTAAATCCTAAATAGGCTAAACTGTGTAAACTCAAACATCATATAGACAACCTACAATATAGTATGTATGTTAATTCAGCATCAATTTTTATTTTTGTTTTTTTGGATAAGAAGGAAAAGAACTTTATTGATATAAACTTAGGAATTACAAGAGATTGGGTGTAAATTCCACCCCGAAACAACAAGAGTAGGGGTGCAACTTGGGTGGGTTCATACCAAGCCCGAACCGACCCAGCGCAAAATTTTACACGGGCTGGGCTTGGATTTTTGATCCTCGGGCCCAAGAAGTCAGGCTTTTTTATTTTTTGGACTGGGCCTAGCCCTTAGCTAACTAGAGTTCAGCCCAACTATGCACCTTCATATATACATATGTATATATGTAAATTTGCATGCATATTTACATATACATACATATATATATATATATATGTGATAAGCATGCTCTCATTTTTGCAACTTCGATAAGAGATTCAGAAGGCCTTTCCTTTAACCTCAATTTTCGCAAAGAGCTAAGAGACTCAGAACTTTCCGAAATCACCTCCGTACTCTCTTAACTCTCACTCCACTGAAGACAAGCTTATTTGGTCTTTAACCCCTCAAGGCTCCTTCGCTACCTCTTCTTTCTTTCAACACCTAACCACCGATCCACCGAACCACCCCCTCTCCTTTTTCGGGCAAAAAGATTTGGCTCCCCACAGTCCCTCCTAGAGTTTCTTTCATGATTTGGGAGGCTTTTTGCTCAAAGTTGAATACTTGTGACAACCTCCAAAAGAAGTTTCAAGGCCATTGTTTTATCTCTCCTATATCTATCTGATGTGCTACAAGGATGGTGAATCTATTGGTCACCTGTTTATTAATTATGTGGTGGCCAGAAATCTTTGGTAGTTCTTTCTCGATTCCTCAGTTGGAGGCAAGTTCAGATGGACTCCCCCTAATTTTGTTATAGAGTTTATCAACTCTTGGCAAGGGCTAAAGATGATTTCGGGCAAGAGAGGAAGCTGTTTTTGGAAAGCAATTGTTCATGGTGTCATGTGGAATATGTGGGAGGAAAGAAATAGGAGATTATTTGAGGAGAGCTACTCCTCCATGGAGGTTCTTCGAGATCGAATTCTGGCTAAGACCCTGTTTGGCAATGTTCCCATCTGTTCATGTTCTTTTAGAAATTCCTATGCTAGAACAAGAATTTTATTTCTTGCTCCTTGGGAGTAATAGAGGCGTTTGGAAAAATGTTTTTCGAGAACGCGCTTTTGTTCTACAGAAATAGAAATGGTGTTTGGATACTGAATTCAGATGAAAAGAAACCCCACTCAATTGACATAATAGAAACCCCACATTTCAAGATATCCAACAAAGTAAAAAAGAAAAATAATATGAACAAACAAATTCAGATGATGGAAACTCGACATCTATTAGAGATGATTGTTGTCAGAGATTAGTTTGGGTGAATCTAGCCAGAGCAACGACGAGTAAAACAAAGCAATGGCGAGTAAACCAGGTATGACGAGAAGGAACACACCTACATGTTTACATGAATCTGGCTGGAAATATCGCTAGAGCTTTGTAACGTTCGCTCGCCATCTGGTTGTTGACATAGCAAGAGCCAAGGGAGTTCCCTCCTCTAAGATGTGCAGCGGCAATGAGGTTATGTTGAATGAATGAAAGGTGGTTGTTTAGGGCTTGTTTCTATCATTTCGCATGAAATACCAAACATACCTCTCTCACGTGGGAATCAATGGCACGTGTTTGTTAATATGCATTAACGTTGTGAGAACCACGTGTTCTTCAGGAACATGTTCTTTGAGAGTGTCGATTTATCACTCCCAAAGAATGCGTTCTTTGGGTGCTGTTCTAATGTGAGAATAGCTTGCTTCTTTCATTTTTTTGTACAAAATGCGTTCCTGCTCCATGAGAACACTGGGAATGATAGAAACGTTCTCACGGAACGTTGCCAAACAGGGCCTAACATTAGCATCTGGATGGTGAATAGCAAAATCTTCGAGGGTATCAGTCGGGTGACATACATAGTAACTGGCATGCTCTACTATCAAGCTCTCCTTTTCACCCTCAACCTCTTAAAATTGCCCCAAGACAAGACTGAGTTTATTCTAAACTTCAATAGCAGTTTTAGGAGAGCCTCTGAGGACAGATCAAAGGCTGGAATTGGAGGACTGATTCGAAGAGCAAATGGAGAAATGATTTGGGCCTATAGTGGCCCAGCTAAGGCAGAAGATGCTTCTGATGCAGAGGCAAGGGCCCTCTTGGAAGGCCTCAGAATCGCCAAATCGCAGCAGCTCAGCTGCATTGCAGCGGAAGGTGATTCGGGAAATGTTATTAACTGGGCTTCAGGACAGATTTTAGACCCATGGAAGCTATCCCATCTGTTAGAAATCAGGGACTTGCCTCTTATTTACACTGCAGCTTTAGATGGATTCCTAGAGAATTAAATCGACTGACTGATAATCTATCTAAATGTGTGCTGGGGAGGGATTTTTTGTATAGCTCCAATACACTGCCTTCCTAGAGGGCTGTGTCTTTGCTTTTGTTATGTTTAAAAGGTTTCTACATCCTCTCATGTACATCCCGCCCTCCTTTTTGAATGCTTAATGAGTTCAGTTATCTTCTCTCAAATATATATAATTTTAAAGTGGGTTCATTGACCAACCCAAGCCCAGCCCCAGGCCCAAGCCCAACCTGAGTTCATCAAATTACAGTGCGGGCTGTGCTCAGTCCGGGTTTGGGCCTTAAGCCCAAATTTTAGGGCCGGACCCAGGTTGACCATAAACCCGGCCCAACCCACCCGACTTGCACCACTAAACAAAAGATTACAGATTTGCCCAAAACATTTGCCGTCTTACAGCCCCTTGTTTGGCCAAGGAGTCTGCCATTCTGTCTTCTGTTCTTCTCACCCACTTAAAGGCAACATTTGGCTCCCTTGTTAAGCTTGCAATCTCCCTGAATTTATACTGGAAGACTCAAGGAATATGGATACTGTTTCTAGTCCATGAGATGACTACTTGGGAATCCCCTTCCTCCCCTAGATGGAAACCCAATTGTTTAGCAAGCCTTAATCCCTGCAGTAGACTGACCAGGTCTGCTGTCAATGCATCACCATGCTCCAAGGGTCCTGAGTACAAAGCCACTGCTCTACCTTCAGGATCTCTGAAAACACCCCTACCCTAGTATTGACCAGAAAAAAAAAACACCCCTACCCCAGCCAATCCCTTATTGCCAATAACGATTCCATCAAAGTTGAGTTTTAGGAAGTAAGGGGTTGAGGGCTTCTAGTCCATAACTAGCCTTGCC